CGGATCTAGAACGTACATTAAAAAAAAAACACGCGGCATCATTTTTACATATAAAGTGCATTTAAAAAAAATGAAGCTCAAAATTGCTTTAATGAACAAACACATTTATACATATTTTCAAATAAGTACATACCTAGTTTTCTGAGAAATTACAAAAAACACCACTTTTCAAGTGCCACTTTACAAAAATACCGCACTTTTGAAATCTTTACAAAAATGCCATTTTTTCAAAATTATTTTTTCTTTATACTATTTATGTTTGGGTTATTTATGTTCTATTAGGGTTTAGTTATAAGAGTTTAGGGGGTTTAGGGGTCAAAACATTTTTTAGTGTAGAATTTTAAGATATAGGATTTAAAAATCTATAATTAGTGGCATTTTTGCAAATGAACACTCCTATGTGGTATTTTTGCAAATGTGCACATAAAAAATAGTATTTTTACAATTTCTCATTTTTTAGTTTCATAATCAAATAGCTTTCTAATGGTACTAAAAATAATCGTACAACTTAAAATTAAAATTTATAAACCTATATCTTACATTGTATGAAAATGAAGTGTAATTAATTTTAAAAGAAGTCAAACTGATATTTAGTAGAATTTAAAACATATATATACGTATTAAAAAATTATGCGATAGTATTAATTTGTGATTTTATTTTTATCATGTCCAATTTTAAATTATTTTTAACGTCTTTATTTCTGATTTTATTTTTTTTATTAAATATAAATATTAGAAACAAAAATAGTTGATGATTTTAGTAGTTTTTACTTATAAATGTGAGTCAGGTGCACGTGTAGTAAAAGTATATGATATCTGGCACTGGCTGGTTTGGAAGACTGCTAAGGCTCTCTAATGTAAATCTCTATATTTGGCTCTAAAATAGAGTAAAATATAACATTGTCCAATTTTCACTCCAATGTATCTCTATCATAGAGGAAATGCTATTTTTTCTCTATTTTAGAGTTCTCTACATTTTTTTCTCTATATATAGAGGCAAAAATAGCAATCTCTATTTTAGAATTGGAAATAGAGATGAGTTTGAAAAAAAATAGAAGATTACTATTTTTTACTCTATTTAAAAAAAAAAAAGGATGGGTTGGAGATACCCTATCTTCACTGCTGACATAAGCACAAACGACGTAACACTATCACCCCTTGTTTAAAAATGTGGCCGCTGCGGCCGTTTAATCTCCAAAACGTACACGACATACGTACATGACTAAACGAAAATAAAACGGTTATTAATACATTGAAAATTTGTATATAATTAGAGGTTTGAATCAATATATTACTTTGTGTTCCTGAATTTGATTTCAAGCTTTTTGTTGGTTTGTTTGTCACAGCTTTTGTGGTATGCATATATCTCCAACATTAGTCACTGGTTCCATGATGTCTTCAAAATCAAACAATTTAGTGTCATATAAGGGTAATACTTAAATTTTAAGTGAGAGTAGCTAGAGAACACTAACCAATCAAAAAAATTGTCTGACCATAAAGCATAACTTATAATATTAGATAGAGTAAGAGAAATTCATCTTGTATTAATGCTTAGTTGGCCGGTATTGGCCGGTGGCTTGAGTCAAGAAATAGTTTTAGACAATTCTCCATTCTCTAACATACAACAAACGTTAAAAACGTGTCATCATTGACTTCTTCACAGAAGCATGAATCTTTGTTCTCTATTGCATAAAACATTTAAATACATAATTGAAAATATTTTAGACTTCATACAAAGGATTTATTAAATATAATGTACGCTGCACATTAGTAGATTTACTTGCTTCACAGAATATGACTTCCAACGTTTCTCCGGTATTCTTCATGTACTATTTGCATGAATCGAGAACGTTCACTTTGATGCATCACCTTTGTTTGAAATGTTTCACCGAGTTGAGGCTAGTGACAATAGAAGCGGTCAGTATTCGCAAAGCAAAAATAATTGAGTAGTGGTGAAAGTTACCGGGTTTTGCACTTTCGAATTTAGTTAGTTTCTGATATTGTTAAAAAAAGATTAATTAAAAATTCATACTTTATTAATTACGTGGATCATCGAATGTGCACATTTTTTATATTTTTGGTATGTTATTAACAAAAAACGTTAATTAATAGTTAAGTACTATATGATTTAAGATATTTTATCGGTATTAAAAATGTAACTGTATGATATAAAACTTATTCCAATTCAAAAGTACAAATTTGGCCATTCGATCGTATTGCATCAGCTTCCATATTTTCCTTATAACTTTGCATTAATTAGCATTCAAACTATTTTGTTTTTCGTATTTAATCTCAAAATTAAATAAAACAGTAGAAAGTGTGTATTATAAATTCTGAATGGGACAAACATAAAAAAAAAAAAACACTTGAATTCATAAGCTTCGACCATAACATGATAAATTCCCAACCATCATCCACACTAACTCATTGTCACACAAGATTTATTTTTAGGAATATCTTGGGATTCAACACGTAGGATAAGGAATTTTACAAGCCTCTAAGACTTTATGAGCATTTGGAGAACTAACATACATACTAAACCCTGGATTTCGAATATAACCACATAGACACGATTCCTGCAGCTTTAATCTCTCACAACAATCTACAGATGGTGGTTGTCCTGTTGCTATCGGGGGTAAGCATGACAAGAGTTGCGATGGATCACACTGTTGTGCCACTTCTCCTCCACCGGAACCTCCTCCAAACACGGTTGCTCTGATCGGAGCAGGTGACGACAAGATGACTATCACTAGCGCTATGAATACTGAAGTCGTGAACTTCATATCTTAAAACCCTAGCGACTTCTTTAACG